CAAATCTTCGATATATGCACAATGCTTGCTTACAAGGACATCACATAGTTTGCGCAGAGTTATTAGACAAATGGTGTACCTCATGTTAGAAATATAACCTTTTTATTTTTTTGGCTAGCCCTGAATGTTCTAATTCGTTTTCCTGTTAAGAGAATTTTTTTAATGGGGTCCCTATCCTACAAAAAGGCTGATGACATGTGTTATCTCATTAAATAATTTCAAATAAAAATGTTACCCTTTTGCCTGGACTTCTTCGGTACCTTTATAATCTATTTATAAGAGTGCATAATTAGTATTAGTCCAGTTCTAGTACAATTACTGCCAAATCAGTTTTGTGAACATGTCATGGTTACTTTCAATTTTGGTGCCACGATAATCGAAGAGCTGAATTGAAGCAAATGATAAGCCATTTTCCTTTGATTTTTACCTCCTAAGTTGGGAACCTTCACGTTGCCAATATGAATAATCAGCGATCGCATGCCAAATTTAGCCACAGATGTTTTTTTGTAGTACCTTCCTAGAGGATACTTTAGTCAAAAGTACTGGTTTGGATAGAGCTTTGAAATACGAACTGGCTGATGTATTAATCTGACCTCTACTGCTGCAACACTAATGTTATTGGGAAAATTTAGAAAATCCCGACTTTACTTTTTCCTTTTTCGTGTTCTCTCAAATTTCTAGCACAGGTATGGGCCTTCACCACACATGAATCGCCTCAAGCCATTATTTTACATGGTGCTGTCAGAAAATCTTGTGCTACAGTCAATAGATTATAGTTAAAAATACGAACTACGCGCAGATTAAAAGAGTAGCTTAGAAAGTTGGAACTCTGTTCCAATATATTCCATTAAACAAAAATAAAAACAACAAATATAGTTGCTAACACAGATGTCCAGGCTAAGTATTGAGCTAGCACTGCTGCGATTGAAAGTGGAACTTTACACAGTGCTAAACACAATTATGACTGAACTTCAAAAAAAAGCGTATCTAGTTCAGTTATGATCAGAAATTTCCGCTTAATTACAACCTGTATCTGACAGCAAATTAATATGTGTCAAAAGGACTTTTTAGTTCATTTAAAGCAAAGAATCATTTAAAACATAAAAACGGGTGTCGAAAAGCTGGCCATATCTTTGTGATTGTTGTTTATAACCTTCACTTCATTCCTTAGCCTCCAGAATATTTAAAAAGAATGCAATAATCTCTTAAAAGAACTGATAACAGATCTGTCTGACACCAAAAAGGATATATTTCTGCTTCTTCGACCGTAACAATAAAGTTTTGCAAAGGTCGCCTATATGTACTCATGAAGTGAGTGCTGTCATGTGGCTGATTCTAGAGCGTTCCTTTAGTCCGAGCACAAGCTCTCTAAATCACTTTCTCTAAAGCTTAGCTTAAATCAGCTGTACCCATCTGGAATGCAGTGATAGGATTGTCTGCAAAAAATGGGCTTTCTTGGAAGCTTTCAGATATTCGCTCATCTGAACATCTTGCTTTTGCTGTAAGAAGCTTGAGCAGCAGAATGAGGATTTAGGTTGTATCTCTGATCTTACCTTGACGTTTCGTCCAAATCCATCAGATCAACGTTGAAATTTTCTTTTTCCAGTTGGGCTAACAAATAAATCGTTGGAAATACTGACAAGAGCAGAGATCACATTTGTGTTTCGCTACTCACATTTTGCTGTCTGAATTTTCGTTCAGCAAAAGCAAATGCCGACATTGCATTTCCAGCCGCGGTGACTTAAGCCGATTTCTCGAAGCATAAATTGGTTATAGTCTTCAGTTAGTTTGCGCTTGAGCTGGAATGGCTCGGATT